CTCGGGGCTGACACCCAGAAAGTGGGTAGCAGCCTCCAAGGCCGGTTTGGGTCCCAGGGGTGGAGTGTGCTCCTCACCTTTGAGGGCCAGGGGCTCAGCCGTGCCACTTGCTCTCTGTTTACATAACATACACTAAGCTGTAAAAAGCCCATTGCTTCAGAAGTGAATAGGTCACTCTTAGACAAGAGAGCATGCACAGAGCAATGGAAAAACAAATTTGCTATTGTAACACCAGAGAGCAAAAAGCAAACCTGGAGGTGACCTGCAAAAGAACATAGCACCGGGTTTCTGCCCTGTTTGGTGCTTTGTGGTGCACAAAGAAAGATTGAGAAGTGTGCAGGCATTTTTTTTTTTTTTTCTATTTTCAAAATAAAAAGTATCTTTGTCTGGCACTTTGAATGTAGCAAGCATGCTGATTCTAGCTTTCCCTGGTTTTGCTGGAGGGCCTGTGGGAGAAGGACTCAACAGAATACTAGCAGCTTTCTCAGCATTTTCATTTAAGAAAAACGGTGTTAAGATTTTGAACAGAGCCTATTTTTTCATCTAATGTTGCTGAGAATGTCTGAATTAAAGAGGTGTTAAGAAAAGGAAGACAGACTATTAAAAAAAATCGCTTCCTTTTTGAATAATTATTTTATGATGAAAAGTGTAGCAGAAGGGCTTAAAGGTCACCAGTGAGATCAGGGCCCCTTGGTTCTCGATACTGTGCAGACATGTCGGAAGTAAACAGCTTACAACCTAAATGAGAGAGGCAGATAAAAGATAGTTGGGAAAAGAGGCACAGAAAGGGGAAGTGGCTCATCCAAGGTCATGCACAGATCGGTGGCTGTGCTGGATCGAACAGTTTGTGGTAGATCAGGTCTCCTGGATCTTGTTCCCCTGTTTGATCCCGACGCTTATCTCTTCTCCACTGACATTTTGTGAGTGGTCAAACAGGCCTGAGCATCCTCCTGGTTGGGGTCCATAGAAGGGGATAATCCTTCACCTCTGCTGGTTTTAATGTGGCAGAGGCAAAATCCCAGTGTTAGATTACAGGTTCTGACCCAGTCCACGGCTGGAGCTGGGTCCAGAACCCGAATCCTGCCTAGTTCCCACAGCCCTGGCAATGGATGTCTTTCATGGCTTTGTCTGAGATAGAGCAACAAGGGAAACCTTTCATTGCACACCTAAAGACTTGGAGATAATCAATTGGTTTATAAATTGCTAAAATCTAAGACACAAAAAAACCCCAAAAAACAAAAAACCAAAAAACAAACAAACAAAAAAACAACAAAACAAAACAAAAACAAACAAACAAAAAAACCCCACGAAAACAAACAAACAAAAAAAACCAAACAAACTACCAGAAATATTGATTTGGAGCACTGGGAAAGGGTCTAAATTTTGCAACTGCCCTTAGGGCGTGTGGGGCACTCTAATTTAACATCAAGGCACTTAAGAAGTAATGATGCTGTTAGTTTGCCAGACAGCCAGATTCTTCCAGGAAAAATAGGGTACAAAAGACCCCTATTCTATAATTGCGTCTGTATGTAATTTTAGGATCTAGGCTCAACTTTTTTCAATCTAAAGAAAAAGATGGGGAAAAATACCCTTTCTGAAAGGGAACACTTTTAGGCCTTAAGCAGTGCAGAGACAGAGGAACAAAATCACGGTTCTGTTTTCCTTACAGATCGTCTCTAATAATGGCTCCTGGTATTGAGAGTATTGTGGTTTACTAGCACTAAAATGTAAAGTTATTTTGAGTGTGAAAGCCTGAATGTCATTCTATTTTAAAAAATGTAAAAGAAGGAGAGGAATGTTTACAGCACGTTAAAACCTGTGTGACAACTTAGCAAGAACTATTTTAACAATCCTCTTATTCCCCTTCCTGTTATGCACCATAAAATGAGAATGCAATGTCAGTAATAAATAATATTAGCACGGAGGGATCGCTCACCGTGCTGCTGGAGAGCAGGCTGGGTCAGGCTGAGCCTAAGCTACGCTCAGCCCCAGCTCCCACCCTGCTCCGGTGGGACCCACAGCCGATGCTGGGCTGCCTGGGGTGGTGAAGCTGGGAGCCTCTCCTCCTCTGCTGACCCCCTCAGCAGGAGAAAGGCTTGGGAGTTTTGTGCTTCTTTGCAGGAGCTAACTATAACCTGGTATTTAGAAAACACAGCCTCTACTACTACTGCCTCCATGGGCTTTATGACCCAAACATAACAAGGATTAAAGCAGAATAATTCTTTATAAAAAAGTTTGCAGTCAGGGGTAGGTCTGCAGTGAATATTGACAAATACTGAAACTAAATCTGAGGAAAGACTTGTTCCAATTTTTTTTTGTAATCGGCATTCCATATGTGTTATGCAGAGAGCTAGGATGTGCTGCTACTTCTGTTACATAAGAGTTTTTTTTAAAAAAGTGCAGTGCAGAATGCACGAGTAGTGAGAAGGAATATCAGGAAAAAAAACTGCAAGAAAATAAGAAAAGCTACTATGTGAAAACATCTTAGTGTGTTATTTCCATAATGCCATGAGTTCCTTAAAGTCTCTTTTAATGTTTCTGAGGAAAAGCCTCGAAGTGAAAGGAGGGAGTCAAGATTTTTTTTTCTTTGCTTTAAAGGAAGGTCTTGGTTAATTCTATTAGTAGACTTTGGGCTTGTTTTTATTTAAAAACAAAACAAAAATCCCTCTCAAGTTTAGTATTTCTGTATGGAAAAATTACTTTTCTTTGCCAGAGGGGGAAGTATCTCCTTTTCATTCTGTTTGTTTTGGAGTATCTGAACTTATGTGTTTTCTGTTTGTTCTTTATTGAATACATTAGTGGTGCATTAATTTCTTCCTGACAATGCTCATTTCATTGCATTCAGATAGGCTCACTCTTTTCCATGTGACAGACAAACTTGTTGTTTTACTTGATGACCCTGCTTTGCCCTCCCTGGGTTTGATTGATAATGGCTTAATTTCCTACTTTGTTTACCTTTTAATGCTTTTTAAAGTGATTTTTGTTCTGACTGCTGCAAAGGAAACAGCTGAAACAAACCTCGTATTGGATTCTTGCTCCAATTCCAATCTGTTTGCTTTGTTTTTCCTTTTTAGATGATTGTTTGGCTTTAATTTGTTTGTTTCTCCTTTAAATGGGCTTGAGATTACTCAAGGGTTCCTTGTTCAGCAGGTCAAAGGGTAACTTGGAGACTTTGAAACTGTCTCCCTTTTTATCACCAAGTTTTGTTCTTCCAAGAGTCCAAAGGATTTTGCAGGACGATAGCTTGTGGAGGATGCCTCCATCCAAGGAAAGCGTGAGCAGCAGACCTGAGTCATTGCAAGAGGCCATGCGAGCCGTTTTAGTGTTCAAAGCAGATGAAAAAAACACTGATTTAAGTCTAAATCAGAACCTTAATTAATCCTTATATATAACTAACTAAAAGAGTAAGTTTACGGGGAGTAGAATACAATGAGATAGATAGGTTTGATGCTCAACTACCAGGCAACTGCTCAACAACCCAGTATGGAGGCCCACAGTTCTGAATTTCTAAAGCTAAAAATTTTAACAGTCTTCAAACCAGAAAGGTATCAATACATAGAAATATACAGTGTGTGCTATTAAAAACTGCCCTTTAACTGAAAGAGTCAATCTGTCCCAGAAGTAATCCCTGCTTTTAAAAGAGGGAAGTCTGAACTGCTCAGCCATGGCACTGTGAATTTTAGGACAGCAAAATGAAGTGTTGAGTAATGTAAGCTCCTTAACAAAAATTCACAGCTACTTCTTATTTCTGCATAAGATTTTAATCCTCAAAGGTGCTATGCACAGGGGGAACTTCTTCTGCACCTCTGTAATATAAATTCACTCACTGTTTATTTTTTCCCAATACTTTATATCCCTTGAAAACATTAGCAGGGGGAAAAAAAAAAAAAAAAAAAAAAAGCACTTCTAAAATCTTCATTTCTTACAAAGATATACAAAGATAATAAATCTCAAGTGAATCACAGAGTGGGGAAGAATACATATATTATATAGATTTTTTTTTTTTTTTTTTAAAGAAAGCAGGGTATAGTCATTATCCTACACTAGCATATATTCGGCTGTAGGGGAATTATAGGGTTGCAGATTCTCAGTGAAAAAACATTGAACTGTCTTCCCCTTGAGAGTTCACCTTGACACGATTAGCAGCTCTGACACAAACTCTTAGGGCGGAACAGTCTCACAGATGTGAGGAAAGGAGGTAGCTGAGGTGCATGGCTGTAACTGCATTTTCAGGTTTGTAGTGAAGTGGCCCATAGTTTGTTGTTCACTGATCAATCCACTCCTCAACGGCTTTAAATCAGAGAGTATTTTTCTGGGTTTTTGTTTTAACACATGCAAGCCTAGCTCTCTTTTGGTTCATCCTGATATCATAGAGAGGAATGTTACAAAGTTTACAGTCCAGGTTTTGAAGTGGAAAGAGTCCAAAGTAAATTCAAGATAGAGGTGTTGCTATAAGAACCATTTATTTAATGTGTTCCCCAGGTTAATTGAGCTCTGTATCCTTCCATGAAAAAGACTTGCTGAAAATAGCTGATTTCCGCTAAACAGAAACCAAGGAAATTGTACAGCTAGATTACCACTATCACTTTTACTTTTTGAACTGCAGATTTTGTCTGCTCTGCTGTGTTCTCTTCAGCCATGGTAGGAACTGAAATACAGGGTGTTCCAGTGGCAAGGAAGGCTGACAAACTCCTCAAAAGCTGCAGTGCCATTTCAGTCCGGTTGCTAAGGGATGCTCAAGCGTGATGTCTGTCTCTTCCCTTCCAAATGAGCACATTGGTTTGGTCACAACTCCACCCCCACAGTTCACAGCCAAAAGTTTATGAGGTCATGTTCACTGTGGACAGTGTGAGCCCCTAAGGAACTGTACAACTGTCCCATCTGAGAACTAATTAACTGTTTCTTTTTTTCTGGAGGCTGGGACATCCAAAGTGCTCAGTACCTTCAACTTACTAACAAATGAGAATTGTTTGCAATAGGAGCTAAGGGTAGTTTTTTACCTAGAGGGCTTGGAAGGCATCTGCGGTGTAAGATGGACATCCTGATCTGGGTCTCATAATCACCTGAAAAAGCAAAGAGTAACTTGAGTGAATTCAGAGCCTAACTGTGATTAGTTGAGAGTAAAACAGATGTAACATTGGAATTGTAAGCAGTAAGTTTTATCCATTCAGTTAGACAAAAGAATGGAAGGACATGAACTATGTGTCTCAGAAGCATTTTTGCAACGGGCTCAAAATCTACTCTGTTAAGAAAATAGTAACTCCAAAACTAACTCCTGCATCTACATTGTCCAGACAATGTTTGTGATTTTTACAGCAGTATTTCCTATACACCTATACATGTGTGAATATCCTCATGCATAACAGGGGAGACTACCACAACTATATGCAAACATACTTTATGTCAAACATAAAGTAAATATATTAAAATAGGAAAAATATAGTATTTTTCTTGAGGGTTTTTTGAGTGATTATACTGATAGTTATTACATGTAAATGTTAAAAGGACAGAAGTTCATGTGTATAGAGTGGGGGAAGTGTAAGGGACATGTACTTTTCAGTAAGTTCTCATTCGTACTGTTATTGATAGTCTACTTCTAATTCATATCTAAATCTTTTCAACCATTTTTAAATCAAGTTAATATAGTTGTCCTAGCTGGGAAGAATAAAGTCTGCATAAATTATACACTTCAATAGGACTACTCAACTGAGTAGAGTACATGTTTATTTACAGGATCGGACTGTGGTTAAAAATCTTCTCAGTCTCAGACTCCAAAGAATAGTTTTGGGGACAAAAACTATGGAAGGAAGATGGGGAACAGAATTGCAATGAAATACCTCTTTCCTCTTAATTAAGAAAATGAAGAGATTTTCATTAAAATGTAATAGAACTGAGGCCAATGGGACTAAATAGCCATTAACTAAAGTTATCAGGTAGACTGAAATGGATTATATGAAACTTTCCTGTATACATCCCCTACAAATACTCCATTGAAATATTATTCACTTTGAATTATCCTGCTGCCTCTCCTTGTGAGATCTTTTCTGGTTTGAGAAGTGAAACAGCAGAGTATTAATTCATACTGCCAAACCCCCTGTTCTTTTTGTGAAATCCTTAAGCTAAGATGCATGTTGGTGTCTCAAAGTCTTTGCATTTACTTTAGACTGAAAAAAAAAGTAAACCCAAACCCAACAGAATTTGAGGCTGTTGGCTGTTATGTTCAGACACAGAAGGAATATTAATTAATTTGAATTTAATCTGTAAGTGTGCCATGCTCACAATCTTCTGTGTGTAAACTCTTATCTTCCATTAATTTAAATAGTGCAGGATTGAGTCAATAGACATAAGTCTCCTATTGTCTCATACAGCCACTTCCACATTCATATTACCTTGCATTTTTGGAAAATATTTCTGCTTAACACGCAGCAGTGTCTTTTAACACCCTCTTTTGAGTATTTTCAAGCCTCAAATAGTTAGACTTTTATCACACAGGCACTGTGCCCATACATACAGTTATTTACCTTTGCATTTATTTGTTCCTAACAGTGCAGGTTCTTCAGAAGTGAGCTTTAATTTTATGGTGAGTTAGGGATCAGATTTTGCCTGCACCTATCCTGATGGCAGGAGTCTCGTGAAACTGAAGTTCATGGATTTTTACAAAATGGAAGCTAATGCAACTAGTTCCAATAAGAAACACAATTTACTCTAAAGACACATCAGCAGCATTAGGTTATTTAAACAAATAATAAAAAAAAAGAGAACAGTTTATGTGTTGGTATGTTTTTACTCTTCAAATGATGCTCTCCTAATCAGGACAGCACTAGAAAAAAATCATGGCAATTCGGTGGGTCTGTGAAGTACAGTTGGTGCCTTATGTCTGTGTCCTATCATATTTCAGAAAGAGAAGAAACAGTCTGTAATTGCTGATAGGTTTAACAGTTTGGTAGTTTTCTTTTTGTTTTCTGTAGCTTTTGACACTTTCACACTTTAATAACATATGTAATACAAGGAGCTAATTCTTAATTCTATCATGAGTAACTGGGAGTTTTGTGAATTAGCTGAGTGTGTTTCCCCTTTTCAACTACCTCATGCTTTGTTCAACCTAAGGAGACAGAGGCACAGGGTATATATACCAGACGGTATATATATATCTGGCATATATACCAGGAGGTCAGCATGCCCCAGCACAGTGGCTGACAGCTGTTAGAGTTTAACCTCACCAAGCCCATCCTAGTTTGTGTATGGGACAGGGATGGGTGTGTGCTGCTGGACAACATCATTTACACAGGTATGACTGCCTTGTTGGTGGATGCTTTGGCATATGTACCGTTTCCCTACGCTAGTGCCACTCACTGTTCAGAAAGATTTTAGCCTTTTGTGTATCTCCAGCAGTAATTTTTATCTTATTTGTATATTCCTTTGTGTTTGGAGCCTGAGATAGGCTCCCTTCCCCACCCCAGCTGGGACGCAGAGGGAAGCAAAGCCTGAAGCCTAGAGGCCTTCCCTGCTGCGTGAGGTGGCAGATACTGGCATTTCTTCATTCTCTTCATACCTGCAACCATAAAAAAGCTACAAGGTTCTGTAATTTTCAGTCTGAATTCTGCTTTATTGAGTCCTTTGTGCCTTGTAAATGCCACGGTTAAAATATATTTGAATAATGTATATTACATGGAAACAATATGAATAAATAAAAGACCTATAAAAGATACAAGGAATTATTATAATCTTTGTTTCAGATTAATCTGGGCATTGCTGAGCCAAGTCTCTCTAAGACCTTTTAAAACTGACTTGGCCTAAAATAACACCCGGAGAAGTCAGTAAGAGTCTCTCCACTGACTCCAAAGCTCTTAGGCTCTATGTACCCCATAGTTTTGGCATTTAAGAATAGACTGAAAGGGCCAGTAACTTACTCAAAGACCAAGATTTGGTAGTGGTAGTCCTGGTTTCTCCTGAGGTCCATCCCTCTTTCAGCAAGAGCAACTAAACAGATGTATCTGATGTCACTAACTGTGACCTTCTAATTGTTTGCTCTATTCACATTATTATTTTACTGTAGGTGGTTCTAAATATAGTAACTGTATGACGTACAAAGGTGTGTTCATGGGAATAGTGTTGTATGTAGTTGAGTTTTGCAAATGAGGATAAATAATTTATGTATAGTAAGAGGACATTTTGCTAGTCTCAGTGGGGTAGAGAAAAACTACCTGTGTATTTTAGGGAACCAGTTTTTACAAAGAGCAAAGTGCCAATCTTTGTTTTTCAGGTGTAGCTGATAAGCTTGTGCATGAAAACTGCTGGGTAATTTGTGTAATGAGGTTTTCAAAAAATATTTTGGAAAACAAAATGTGGCTAGATAGCTGGCAAAACCATAGGTAGAAGCAACTGCATGAATCAAGTTATACTCCCTGGGTCCACCCAGTGTAATTCGGTAGTTTGTTTACTCCTGCCAACCCCCTGTCCCTGGCCGCAGCCCTGGAGAGGGTCCCGTGTGGGATCACGTTGTGGGCGGGGGAGCTGCCCCACACTCGGGAAAAGTATTTGCCCAGAAATACTCACATTGGTAAAAATTATATGTGCACATCAGCATCTGCAGGATCGTTCTGTAGGTCAGTAGCCGGATAAACAGAGTTAATCAATTGAGAAAATGTATAAATATAAATATATACATATTTAAGTACTTACTATAGTAACTTCTGCAGTAATTATTTTCAAGTGTAGTATAAAATGCCCCGGGGCAGAACTCCACTAAAATGCACTCAGAACGGTATTAACTTTAAACCCCAACTCCTAGAAATATTTTCCTCGGCTGCTCTCCTCCCGAAAAGCCCGTCCGAAAGGCCACTCGCCGCCCGAGCGCGGGCATACCCCCGCGGCTGACCGGTTGGCTCCGGCACCGTGCTGCGGGAGGCTCCCGGGCTGCCGGCGCGGAGCGGCGCGGAGCCCCCGCGCCAGCGGGGCCGGTTCGAAGAGGGCGCCGGCGGCGGCGCGGGCTGACGCGGGCTGTCATGTGAGCGGCCCCGCTCCCAGGGTGCAGTGTGGGCCCGCTTGCCCCACCCCGCCGCTCTGCCGCCTCGGTGCAGCTCAATAGGGGGAAGGAAAAAAAAAAAAAAAAAAAAAAGAAAAAAAAAAAAAGAAAAAAAAAAAAGAGGGTGGTGGAAATGCGGGAGAGAGCAGGAAAAATAAGACGGGGAAAAAGCCTCCCGTGAGGGACAGGTTTTGCGCGGGGAGAAAGAGCAAACGGGATTTTTTTTTTTTTTTTTTTTTTTTTTTTTCTCTTCTCTTCCTTCTCCCCCCGCTTCCCGGAGAAGCCGAGAGGATCCAGCCGCCTGGAAAGCTAATGTGAAAAAGCAGCAGCAAGGAGGGAAAAAAAAAAAAAAAAAAAAAAAAAAAAAAAAGGGAAAAAAAAAAAAAAATAAAGGGAGGGGGGCTTGGATTGGACCCCCCCCGCCCCAGTGAGGGAGGAAGGACCCGCGGCGGCCGGAGGGCGAGGAGCTGAGGCACCCGGCGAGGGAAGGGGACCCGACCTCCGCCGAGAGCCGGGGCTGGCGTGACCCCCTCGGCGCTTCTGCCCGTCGGCGCGGGGGGAGAGGCAAGGAAGAGACGTTTCCCGATCCTCCCCGCCGAGAATTTGGGGAGGTTTCCGCGCCTGGAGCCCGTGCCTTTGGATCTAAAGAGGATTTTTTTTTTTTTTTTTTTTTTTTTTTGGGGGGGTGGCACTGAAGCTGGATTTGTTCCTGTGCGTGCGGCGCGGGGGGGGCCGTTTCTGTTCCCTCTAGAGGAGCCGGCGGCCCAGCCGGGGGCGCGGAGATCCCCGCGGATCGCTCCGCATCGGGCCCTGCCGCCACCCCCCCGGGGAAAGGTGCGCTGAGGGGATCGGCGCGGGGCTGAGCGGGGGGGCGGGGGAGGAGAAGCAGCTGCAGCTGCCGGGGAGGAGGCCCGGCGGAGCAGCAGCAAAGTCATCGCCATCGGCCCCCCCCCTTGGCTGGCTCCGGGCTCGGCTCTCTCCATGTCTCTGGCTCTGGGCAGCGGCCGCCACAGCAGCGAGTAGGGGGGGAGGAGGAGGAGGAGGAGGAGGAGGAAGAAGAAGGGAGCCCGGGAGAGTGCCTCCCTCCCTCCCTCCCTCCCCCCGGCAGCCCCGGCCGCCTCCCGTCCCCTCGCCCCGCGTCCCCTGCCTCCCCCTCCCCAAGATGGGCTGTTTAGGGAACAGCAAGACGGAGGATCAGCGCAACGAGGAGAAGGCGCAGCGGGAGGCCAACAAGAAGATCGAGAAGCAGCTGCAGAAGGACAAGCAGGTCTATAGGGCCACGCACCGGCTCCTCCTGCTGGGTAAGGGGGCCGCGGGCAGCGCGGCGCCGGGGCAGCGGGCCGGGGTCCGGCGGCCGTCCCCTCCCCGCCGGGGGGAGGGCAGGGGGGAGGGCGGTGGGGCCGCGCACCGGCCCCCTGCCCGGGCACGGAGAGGCCCGAGGGAGAGGTGGGGCCCGGGGGGGGGGGGGGGAGCGGAGCCGCAAGGCCCACCCGTTCCGTGGGGCCGGGGGAGTGTGTGTGTGTGGGGGGGCGGCCGGCGAGCCCGCTCCCGCCCGGGGCCTCGGGGATCCGCTATCGCCCCGGGGGAGATTGGCCCCGGGGGCGCTGAGGAGACCGGTGCGGTCCGGAGGAGCCTGCCGGGCTCCACGGCCTGGCGGCGGCGGGGAGAGCTCGGGCACCACCCGGGGCGCCGTGGGGAGGGGGGGCCGGGGGCAGGCCCGGCAGGTAGGGAGCTGCGGCTCGGGGCCGCTTCTCCTCCCGCGGTGGGGAGGGGGGGGGGCAGCGCCCCACTGCCGGGGCAGAGCGGGGAGGCAAGCCGGGGCGGGGAACGGGGGCCCCGGGGCCGAACGTAAGGAAGGTGGCCGGGGATGCCGGGCCGGCTGCCGGCGAGGGGCGCGGGAGCGTCGGGCCCGAGGGGGAACCTGGGAGATAAACAGGGCAGGGCGCTGACAGGGGCCGCGGGCCTGCCCCGGGCGTGCGGAGCGGGGAGCGGCTGCCGGGCACCGCGGCCTGGCGGGAAGCGGCCGGGGCTCGGCCGGTCCGAGGCGCTCCCCTCGCCGCGGGCTGAGGCGAAGGGTGCCGAGGAACGTGCAGCCAGGCCGGGGAGAGGAGGAGGAAGAGGAAGGGAGGAAGTCGGGGAATCGTTTGGGGGAAACGGAGGGAGGATGTCGGTCCCGGAGGGAAGCGCGGCGGCCGGCGTTGGGGGCGAGGGAGCTCCGCGCCTGCGGCGGGGGGAGCAGCGCCAGGGCCGGGCTGGGAGCGGGCGGGTCGCGGGGCGGCCCCCGGTGGGCTCGGTAGGTTTAGTTCTGTGACACTGTTAATTAAGGCATCGCGCCCTTGGAGGGAGGGGAACGTTTGTAGCTTGGTTTCGGGAATTATTTCAGCGGTGAATTTAGGTTACCGGCATGTGTCATGTTTTTCAGGAGATACATTTAGAAATGTAGCTTATGGTTCAAGGAAGGAGAAGGTTCAAAAATCGTTATCAGAGAGAACAAGAAAATACTTGTCAGACTCGTTATTTCAAAGTGTTTTGAAGGAGCATTTTAAAATAAGATGCAGTTACGGTATCTCGGTTGTTTTGGTCATGCTGAGGGACCGCTTGCGCACATTATGCAGGGGTTTTCGCGTGGAGCAGAGGCCAGGCCTTCGTAAGCTGACTCAGTTCTGAAGTGAAACAACTGTAATTGAGAAAAAAAAAATTTTTTTTTGAAGGTTGTGAACTTGGAAGTGTATTCTTACTGGTAAAATCTTTCAAATACTAATTTGAAGGAAGAGGCTTAACGTAAATGGAGAGTGACTGGGACTACAGCAGCACCTGCAGCACTGAGGAGTCTGCTAGGGCTCCAGCAGAAATCTTCTAACAGGATAATTATTTGGACTCCAGCTCTCGGGAAATGTCTTGGACTTCCAGATTTCAGGCTGAGCATTACATAGATAGAACCCATTTGTCATCAGATGGGTTACTTTTGTAAGAGAGGATTTTGGAAAACAGAAACGTGAATGGGCTCGTCTGGATTTTCCTTCTGCTTTCTTTAGTTTTGGTGGCTGAAAAATTGTTTAGAATCTTGTAAATAAAAACTTGCAGGTGTTTAGTAATGGCTGTAAGGTCATCTGTGTTCATGTGTTTTAAAGTGATAGTTCAGCTGTTACAGTTTCTAGCAGTAGCTGTCATGAATTGTGGATGATCTATAACACAAAATCACTGGTAAAAAATAAAAAAGCTCACGTCCATATTATTATGTTACGTTCGCTTTATAAGGCATGCGAAATAAAAAAACCTGAGTCCTTTGAAAGTAGTCTTAATATTTTCACATTGTATTCAGATAATACAAAGGAGCCACTCAGTGTTTGAACGGGTTTATACTGTTCTTTCTAGGCCCCACTACTGTACACATGCTTGCCCCTTCTGCCACGAGCAGTCTCACAGAAATTAATGGAACTCTCCTTGGTGGTGAAGTTAAATGTATGCATAATTGCTGGTAAGAATAGGGCCTTAACAAGTAGGCAAATACAGAAATAGACTTACCCAGAAATTTAGATGTAATACTTCATTTTGGTTCACTGTTACTGTATCTGATCCAGAGAACCCAGATATGTCAATACCAGAATGTATGTGTTCATAGCAAGTGGGGGGGAGGGTTATATCCCTGTTCTTGGCCTAAGTGAAGTAAAGATTTTGGCTCCCAGTGTTTATAAATATAAGATGTTATTTAGAGCTACAGCTGAAATTTTGTTATTAATTATTCTGAATGGAAATATGACTATAGCATGCATTGCTATTCCTGACTTAGTTGTGAAGACAACTCAGTCTCTGTTTTAACCCGAGATACTAATTCTTGATTAGTTTTGCCACCTGTCTTTATTGCATGGTGGAGTATGCCTTAGGAGACAGAGTGTGTATGTTATAAAATAGTAGTTTAGGGAAGAAATGATGCTTGCATAAAGAGTTGTAGATGAAAACTGCTCTCTAAATGCTGACAAAATATCAGTGAGAAAGGAGAGGAAAAAGGAGTAAGGCTCACTGATAAGGTGGTAAAACATGCAGGTAGGTTTTATGGAGAGAAGAGCAAGATTATTAGGAATTCATGAGGGAGAAGGAAAGAAGGGAAAAGGCAGAGGGGAATGCATTTATCAGAAAATGAACTTTGAAATATAATTGCTAAAATACAGTTTTGGACATGAGGCTCAAAATGGAGGGTTGTGCTGTCAGTGTGTGCTAGCAGAGGCCTGGCATCCTGTAAATACAAACTGTACCTCTGTGCCTGTTCTGCCACAGGCATACATTTTCTGTTGTTGAGACATAGGCAAATGAGAGAAATAAACAAGTAGCCAGGAGATGTGAAGGCGAATCTCTGTAAATTTTTCCAGGTTATGATAATAGTCTTGCAAAAATATGTTTGTTTTATATAGAAAGCTACTGATCTGGCAGCGTGGAGCAGCTCAATTAAATGCTGCTGTTCGAGTCTTTTTAGCATGCATGGAAAAATGGGTACTATGGGCAGATGGGTTGCCCTGTGCACTGGCATCCGTGCAGCACAGCAGAAATAGCATACATCTACTTATGGAAACTGGAGTAAAGTGGAGTGGGTTTGTTGTGAGCAGGTATATAAGGGAATCAGAGGAGAGCTGCAGGGGGCTGTTTGCAGCATGCAGCCACAAAAGGTGGTCTTTGCGTCTCATTGTGTATATGATTGATTTGGAACATGTAGAGGGGGTGGGAGGTTGCTTATAAGACTCAAATTAGAGAAGGAGGTTTCTGTAGCTTTGTGGGTGGAGGCTTAAAGGGATGCCTTCCTTTTTCAGATGTGAGTATCCACATATTTTATTTCTTGTGATTTAAGTTACAGTCTTTTGACTGGGTGATGATAACTCCAGCCAAACTTGAAATATTTTCAGGATCTAACAAAAATGCTTGAGTTTAATATGGACTTCGGACAGTCGTCCTCTCCATCAGATAGTAGTGACAAGGCAAGCAGATTTTGACGTTCCGACTTATCTACAGAATGTTGAAGTTGTCCTTTTTCCTTCCAAACCCTGCAATCTGCTTTTAACGTTGACACTGGAAAAATGGACAGTGAAATGATCCAAGATTCAGATCTGACACATGACTTGAGCTGGGCATTTATTTTTAGCTACAACTAAAGTTTCCAGTGGCAATTACTTCTTTTTCTTTCACTTTTCACTCTTGCACTGAGAAAACCAACTTTCTTGATTTTACCCTGAAGAAAAAATTCTAGTGTGTCCCTTCATCACTCATGCTTCCCTCTGAAATTGATTTACTTTCATTTTCTAGGTGCTGGTGAATCCGGTAAAAGCACAATAGTCAAACAGATGAGGATCTTGCATGTGAATGGATTTAATGCTGAGTAAGTGCATTTGCTTTTTCACTTTACAACCTATCTTATGTCTGTGCGCCACATAGTAGTCACTGCTGGTGTCTTATATTTTGGTGTATTTTCTTCTTCCTACTATTTCATGGTCTCTAGAATTTGGATGTGTATTTTTAGATGAAATTAATAGACATTAACTTGAAGAAGCCATGCACCACTAATAAGAGCTAACAGTATAAAATTACTTATATCAAGGTTGAGTATAGCTGATTTGATTAAGGCTTAAGTTTTGTGGTTTGTTGTGTGTGTTTTTTTTAACTGCAGTTTCTTTCACAACATGGCTGACACTGATTTACCTCTGCTGTAGCTCATTGATTCATCCTGCTATAAACATACCTCCTGTTAGTGTACGAAACGAATGCAGTTTTCTTTATTTAGAGCTAATAAAGGCTTTTGTTTCTGTCTCCTCACAAAATGAGACTGTACTATGAATTTTGGGGGTAATAGGTCAGATTTTTCTTCTCCTGTTGTGCTTGCTTGTCCAGATGTTTGTGTTAAATTATGTTTTTAAAAACTTTTCTTGTTTACACTTAAAATCTATTCAATTATTTGATAGTTTTGAGGAGGGGAATAGCATTAGGATAGGGAAAATGGAAATTATTTTTTTTGTCAGAGAAACCTTTGTGTTTGCTAACTTTTCATCTAACCTTACTAGGGAGTAGGAAGAGATTCTTCTGCATATTACTTTATTTCAGGTGTCTGTGTGTGTGTGTGTATGAAAACCTGATAAATTAATTCTAATCGAATTAAACTGTTGGAATTTCAGAACTTATTCTCTGTGTTTAATCTTTTTAGTTTATATTACTGAGTTTGTCTTTCTAGTTTTCAAACCTATTTTGTATTGACATCCTCTAGCTTCTAGTAGTGTCATCTGCTGTGTGAATTCTACCTTTTTGGGAAGATTAAGCTTTCACTAGTCTTTCAGTAGTTAATTCTTTAGTAAGAATGTCTGAGCTGAAAGTTTAGCCAAGGAGCCTGGACAATACTTCTTCCTAATCCCCAAATGCTAGTTCAGGATAAGGTACACAGTCTTTTGGAAGAAAGTTCAGACTGATTCATAATAAATTACATTTTGTGCTACATGTTTTTAACTCTCCTCTATAGGGAATATTTTCTTTATCCAAGACAACTTTTTTTCATAAGTGCCCAGTCCTGCATCCTGTTACTGCTGAGTTGTCTCCGTTACTTTGGCTGCTTTTGTTACTAAAGAACTCTTAAAAGACTTGAGTGACTTAGAAGTTTTGCATGAGTTGACTTTGATGTAGCAGCTCTTAACATTAGGTGCCAAGTAAAAAGTTCATCAATGAAAGTGGAAGTCAAGGATCCTTGGCACCTTTAAAAGTATTAATTCATTTAACCAACACAGTTCTTCTAAGTTTTCCAAGTATACAGATGCTCCTAAAGAGATGCTGGTGCTGTGTAATGAATGATGTATTGCGTGGGTAGATAACCTTCTCAACCCTGCAAACTGCATACCCAAAGTTGTGCAAAACTGGCAGCCCAGAAACACCTCATACAAAGCCTGCAGAGCTGGGGAGGGACTGGGACACACTCTGGGGTTTGCAACAGTGGTGTGTTCCTTGAGTACCTCACTTCTGTGTTGTAGCTTGGGGCTTGGCTGAGCATGCAGCTGGATTCCAGGGCAACATGGCATATTTGGCCTCGGGAGCCTCCTCTAGCTCCTGCCTTCTCATAGCAAGGGATCTGGATTAACTAGCAGCTCCATGCCAGCACAGCCCTGCCGCCAGCCACATAGCGTGCCCCAGTATGGAACCCACATGTGAATTGCAGGGGGGCTGCATACAGTTCAGGAACCATAGGTTGTCCAACCCATTGCATATTGTCCTTTGACTGCAGGTCAGTCCTTTGTGCTTGTCTTTTTGTGGGTAGCATGTATTGGAACATTCAGGTGCATTAAAAAATAAAATTAAAAAGTGGCATATATTAAATGTACAAGAACTAAGTTATAATGCATCTAGTTTTAAGTTTTTGTTGCAAAAAAAAAATCAGTAGATCATAACATACTCTTTGCAGGGGGAAGAAGGCTGTTTTTCAGTGATTTGAAATTCTTGCAAGTTACACGCTTGTCCTTAAGTAACTCACATTTTCTTCAAAGTAACTAACTGCTCCCTACATTGCCCTGCTTTCCCTGCTGTGCTTTTTGCCCAGTTCATTCCCTTTCTACCCTACCTATGTTGTGGAAAAATGATGTGGGATTCAGCTAATGAGAGAGATATCACGGGGTTTTTTTGGAAGGGTAGGAAAAGTAAAGCATTACTTCTCTTAATGCTCTTACTCAGTCATTCTAGAACATAAACATGTTTGCATATAACATCACGGTTGATATAATGAATAACAGCAGAGAGGTTGTGAAAACTCTACTGTGATGGAGGTGAAGTGGCATTTTTTAATGTTAGTGCCCACGTACATAGCTGCAGTTTTGAATTATTTCTGTTGGTGCGGCTTGTAATTGTGTCTTGAAAGAAATCCAGTTTAAAGTCCTGTCTAAAACTTGTTCGCCTTTGATTTGGTTGCCCTGTGATAACTGATGTTTGAAGCAGAATGAGAATACCTGTTGTGAAAGATGTCTAATGTGCTATGAACAAGGGAATCAAAAGTTTTTATTTGGTGTTATTCATATACTCTTCTTAATTTCTGGTGACTAAACAGGATATCCAGTGCTGAATGTACTAGCTTCCTTCAGTGAGTGTGAAGATTTTTTATTTGTTTTGGTTTTAGGATTCTGCCCCTAAATAGATGAAGGGACAGTTGTTGTGTGGATTTAAGTGAACTGTAGCATTTAACAAGGTGAAATCTATGTAGTTCTACAAAAGTAGAAGAATTTCTTCTGGGACTCCAATCCAATCACTTCAGCTAATTAATTATTTGAGGAACTGTATGGAATCGAGTGTTCCAGGTAATTAATGTGCTTAATAGTTAACAATGCTGAGGTGAATTTGAAGGTGGTTAAAGTTCTAGCCAAGTTAACTACAGTAAAGACTGTTTAAAAAATTTTCAATGTTCCTTTTATAATCTGTAGTTGAGTTAGAGACAGAATTTTTTTTTTTGCTTGTTTTGTTCCCATTGTGAAGGTGCCGTGGGAAATAAGCACTGTGGCATTGGTACGCGGAGTAGAATATTGGAGAAGCAAGGCATGATCTGCAGCACAGGTTTTTCTGTATAGAGTTTTTGTAAGGGCTTAGCCCACTTCCAGCTCTTGCAGAATGGCTTCAGTTGGCTGTGCTATCAACTGACACCTTCCTACAGCAATTTCATAAATAATGGGAGTGTGGCTTCCCCACAGTATTCTTCCAGTGTACCTCATCTATAACATGGAAGAGCTACATTTTAAGCTTAATGAAGTCTCCATATCAACCAGATTTTCTACTCTTTGCATCACTGCCAACAACAGAGCCCCTTGTGATGTAGAAAGGGCTTAAATTTGGCATGTAATAGCAGGAAGCCTGTGACTTCCTTTCCTTCCCTCCCTCCTCAACACTTTAACTGTCTTTTCATGAAGCTATTCAGGAGGAGTAGGTCTCTGCTGTTGCATACTGCATTTTGTGAGCATCCACTGATAAATTGGAGCTAAAACCTTCTCTTTTTAACTGTGCAGAAATTCAGATGCCAATCTTTATGAACCAGAAAGGATTAAAATTGGGAAAGGGAGGACAAGAGGAGTAAGGAATATAATTGGAAGAATTAATGTAAACGTATAGTTCAGGTTGAAGAGATAAAAAAAATAACTCCTTTTCTGTGTTACTTGAGGCTGAGGTTCTTTGCTTCTAGGATGATGGCCTTTCACTGACTTTTTTATTTTTTTTTAAGTCATCTTTCCCCTCTGATCACTGTGGGTTTGGCTGACACACTGTAAGGAGAGGGTCATTGTCATGCATGATTTTAGAAAGTGGGAAATTGGCAGGGGTGATAGGCGATTTTGAAGTGTCATGGGAAAAACTGTGACAAGCAGAAATATTTAGATAGCAATAAATTGTTGAAATATGATTTACGAAATCCACTACAAAGATTGACAAATAAGGGGAATGTGCCTTTGTGATTAGTAAGCTTGGATTGTATTTATGATTTGGGAAGTCTTGAGGTTAGAGGGAATTCCAGATAATGCTTCTCCGCCTCAGTTTCCCAAATGATGTTGTATAATGATGACGCTATTTCTTAAACTAGTATGTTGAGGTGTTGAATAGGAATTTTCATGTTTATCAAATCTGTTAATGATGATGACAGAAACAGAACTGAGTAGCTTTATTTTCAAGACTTAGATGACAAATATATTTGCATTTATCTTGTTTTTGTAAAAATAATTTTTGCATAGTGGGGAAGTTAAGAAAGCCAAGTTGCCCTCTTAAAGTTTTGGAACTTTTTCTGTTTTCTCACCTAGATTTAGTGGTTCGTGAGGAAGGAAAAGTAGTCACTGATGCTTTCTAATCTTTTTTTTATACATCTCATCCACCAAAAGTTGAACCACAGGACCACCATTATTTCACCATTATAATACCAGTAAATGATGTTATGTAGTCACATTGGTCAATGTCAGTCTCTTTTGTGACTGAAATTACTTCTGTCGTGGTAACTTTACTCTTCTGCCAGCTGATACTGTGTTTTGTTTTCCAATTTTGGTCTTTTTATGTGTGTGATTTTTACAGAAGGGAAGTTAATGTTACGAGGAAAATAATTTTTATGGCTAAGTCTTTTAAAATAATTAATTCCCTCCTAATGGCTGGTACTGGTTTGTATACACAAATATTATTGCTCTATTTTCACAGTTCCCTTAGATTTGTGTACCAATACCATGTTTTTAGAATGATCGCATCAGTTCCTTACCAAGAAACAAACTGACTTTAGTGTATTTTACTCTATTGACAACAAAAATAATTTTTTCCTGGTGTTTGAGTAACACTGAAAATTGGAGGGTGAGGGGCTTCATATGCATGATTTCCCTTCCTCTTTCTTAGTTGTTT